GGGGTCCGATGGGAGGTCGCCGTGGTCGCGCATGAAATGCTTGACGGCCTGTATGTAGCTGTAGTGCTAGACGTCCGCGATGGCCCAAGCGTCAGGGGGGCTGGCTTCAAGGGCGGCCACGCTGCGGTGGTACTCGCTCCTCACAGGCTGCGCGCCTGCCCAGCTCTCCTCGCGCAGCTCCACAGCCCTGTCCAAGCGTGCCCCTGCGCGGTCCATGAAAGGCTGCTCCGTGCTGGTGCCGACCGCGCCATCGCTGCCGGTGCTGCCGCTGGCGTGGGTGCCGCCGTCGAAGCCGATGCTGCCTGCCCCGTGCTGGTGGCTGCTGGGTATCCTCCACCTGCTGCCGCCGCCTTTGCGTCTGCGCCGCTGGGGGCTTCCGCGGCGTCCACGTCGGCGTTGCCATCGCCCTCGTACTCGCTGGTGCGTACGAACGCGTAGTGTGTGCACAGCTCCATCCACTCTGCCTTGTCGAGCTCAGGGTCGGGGGCGTGCAAGTGCGGGAGCCAGCCTCGAGCGAGGCGCTGGAGGGTCCTCCGGACCCCTTGCACGCCCACCTCCCCGATAGAAGTCGGCATCGCCGGGGTCGACCTGGTGCGCCCGCGCGAGATCCCCCTCTACGCTCTCGCAGAGTCCCTGGCATGCCTCCTCCATGTCCTGCAGAGTTCCGCTCATGTCGATCTGGGCCCGAACAGAGCTGCGGTCCCAGTACTTCTCCAGCATGGGCCCGCAAGGGCGGGTCTTGGGGAAATCCATCGGCCCCGTTACCCTGAACGGCTGGCCCATGTCGCCGTAGCAGGTAAGGCTGAGCGGCACTGCCATGCGTTGGCGGCAAGGGTTGGCGCACCCCTTCGCGGCCATGTCCAGGCGCTTTCAGGCTAGCACTCGGTCGAAGATATCGGTGAGGACGATGAACCAGTGAGCTCCGAGGGCTCCTTGGTCGGGGGGCGCTGGCAAGTGCCCGCGCCCGTGTCGACCGCGTGTCCGCCCACGTTGCTCAGCCAATGCCCCGCGCGTTGAAGGAAACGCTTGGGCTCCACGTTCCAGCCGCCCGCGATGACCCACGGTTTACCCGTGCGCTCGAGGAGGGGGCCGACCTCCTGCAGTACAGACTGGCTGGTCTCTCCGACGTCGTCGTTGTCCAGGTATGCGGAGCCCAGCAGAACCCCCCAGGTGCCGCTCCATTGGCATGGGCTACCGTGGCCCTACCGTCAGAGACACGGCAGCTCGCCTTGCAGCCCTGTGCGCCTGGGCCGCGCATTTCACGGGTGGAACGAACTGCGACCCTAGTGCCACCGCTCACCGCGCGCTGCTGCGATGCCCCCACGGAACTCACGCCTGGGCTCAGCGCAGCGCTCCGGCCGACCTGCCTGCACCGCTGCTCCTGGTCGACAACTCTGCAGCCGTAGAGGTGGTGCTCCTGAAAGCAGATCGCATCGCCCATGTGCCGCGTCGGCGACCGCCTGCTGCTGCGGGCCCTGCTGCTCTCCGAGGATGGTCGCGAAAGGGGCCCCAGCCGCTGCCGTTGAGGCTGGCCACCGTGCACATGGGCTTGCCACCCGCGCCCCCCCCCCCCCCCCCCCCCCCCTCCACTCGAGCCCCGCAGAGCGGAGGCTCTGGAGGAGCTTCTGCGCGCGAAGCCTGCGCCTCTGGGCTGCCTGGGCTGCGGGGCCACCGCGTCGAGCCCCTTCGTCGCCGCGGCCAGCGCCTGCTGCCGCGCTGCCCTCCCCCGCGGGGACCTCGACCTCCTCCTCCATGCAGTCCGGGATGTTGCTGAGGTCAGCCTCCTCGAGTCCTTCGTCGCCGCTGTCGCGTTCTGCTGCCGCGCCTGCTGATGCCGCGCTGTGCGCCAGCCGACGAAGCTGGGAGACTTGTTGTTCCCATTGCTGCGCGTGCCCTGTGTTGAGCATGCCAGAAGCCTTGTCCACAGCTTCCAAGAAGGCTGCGGCGCGTTCGCCCTCGCTGAGCAAGGCTGCTGGGGACCGAGGTGCTGCTGCAGTGGCGCCCGCCCCCAGCGCTCCTTCTCCGAGTGAGCCTTCACGCTCCCGTTTGTGCTTGGCCAAGAGGTTGTCGCTGAGCGCCTGGAGCTCCTTCTTCGCAGCCTTGCTCTGTCGTGTTTGCCCTCCAACTCGAGCTTCTGAGCCTCGAGGCCCGTGATCTCTCGCGTGGTGTCCTCGATCTTCCTGGCCAACGCCTCCGAGGTGCTCTGCTGGTTCCGCTGCTTGCGCTCGAGCTCGCTGAGCTGTGCGGACGGGGGCTTCTCCTCGGCGAGCTCGTGTTCCAGCTTCGGCACCTCCTGCCTTTTGCCAGCCAGTATTTCGTCCGTGCCCTCAACTCCCTCGAGCTTCCTGATTGCACTCCGTAACTTCCCAAGGCGCCGAACCCTCTCATCCTTCGGGGACGACTGGGCTGCAGCTGCTGCGCCTCCATCGCTTCCTAAAGCTGCGAGAGAATCTCCTTCGAGCCGTTCGACCTTCCGCCGCAACTGATTGAGCTCGTGTCGCTCTTTGACGTCCAGGTGATACATGCCACCGCGAAGGCATCTCTGAAAGCTTGGTAGATATGGAATCCGACCGAACATTTGACGCAACGGCTAGAGCCAGCCACATGGGACCAGACATCTGCCCTGATCGCATCATCTTGAACAAAAATGGCTACGGATGATGATGATTATGATGATGATGCTGATCATGATGATGACGAGTTATGGTAAATGTGATGGTGATTGTGTTGCTGCTGCTGGCGGTGAATCTGATGACTGTGAAGATGAAGATGGAGATCCAGATGAAGATGAGGATGGCGATGAATATGGGGACGAAGATGAAGATGCCAATCATGCTGCTGCTGCTGATGCTCATGATGATGGTGATGATGATGATGGTGATGATGATCATGACTACGATGATGATGACGATGACGATGATGAAAATGATGCTGATGCTGATGCCGATGATGCTGATGCCGATGATGATGTTGATGCTGCTGATGATGATGATGCTGATGCTGATGCTGATGATGCTGATGATGGGGATGCTGATGGGCTGCCGACGCTCCTCGACGCGACGCCGCTGCGCATTTCGGTCGGGGGTCCAGGGGATGGTGAAGCGGGGGAGGGGGGGGGGGGGGGCGCGCTTTGAAGTGTCTCGAGGGTCTCATCCGCATCGCCCCGCCCCGTTCGGTTTGTACCTCCTGAGGGGATGGGGTCTCGGGGGGGGGGGGGGGGGCCGGGGGTGTCTGGGGCGGGGTGGGGGGGGGAGGGTCGGGGCGGGGGGGCTCGAGCCAAAGTGGTGGGGGAAGGACCCCTATGGGTAGTAGCTGCGCAAATCAATGTATGACAATATCGCACTTGGGTCCCCCGACCGTGCTCAGAACGCCCGTCAGGGAAGCTGGCCCCTCCCTCCAGACCGTCTTTGGGGCGCCCGCCCAGGAGGCCTGTCCACCACGGTGAAGGTGCGACGACCCGGCCCCTCCTGGCTGCCAGCCTCTTCCCCGGAGGGCGGTTCACAGCGATTTCCACTAGTAAGAAATACTTCCCTCCCCGGGCAGGCGGGCGGCGGGAGTTGTTGTGGTGGCGGGTTGGACTGGTTGGGCTGCCCAGCTGGTTCGAGGATTGGGTGGTTGGGCTGGTTGGGCTGGCTGGTGTGCTGGTAAGGGGGCCAGGGCAATTGATCTCGACCATGTTATGATACCTCTTGTAGTGTCATATAGTCTCGTATCTTATCTGGCCGTCGTTTCTATCTCTCCCTCCCTCCATCCTCCCCTCTCTGTCCCTCCCTCCTCCGCCTCTCTGTCTCTCTCTCAGTCTCTCTCTCTCTCTCTCTCTCTCTCTCTTTCTCAGTCTCAATATATCTGTCTCTTTCTCACACTCACGTGTTCTTTATTTATTATTTTGCCTATCTCCCTCATTCTCTCGTTCTCTCACTACGCCATCCACTTCCTTTCTCCTCCCTCCACCTTCTCCTTCCTCAATCCTCCTCTCTGATCCGTACTTTGTCTCCCTCCTCCCGCCTGTCTCTTTCTTCCACCGTACCCCATCCTCGTCGCACATACGTATCACCTCGTCCCTCGTCATTCCTCCTCATCATCCTCGCCCTCCTCTTCTCCTCATCGTCCTCCTCATCCTGCGCACTCCTGGTAACATACCTGATTTATACATGTAACACGCATGCACGTTTTTGTGCAAAGAATCACCGCGCGCGTTTAGGTCCCAACCACTCCCTCATCTGTTGTTCAACTTTGCCCGCGCTCCTACTCATCCGAACATTCACCTCCGTATTGCCGCCTTCGCCTTTGCTTCTCATTCTCACGCCCGGGCAGAGGGAGCAAGATTGGTGGTTTGTCGCGTGTCTAGGTCCAGGTGCGGAGGAATCACACCAGGGGCAACCAGACAACCAGCCAGGCAACCATGCAGCCAGCCAACCGATTCGCCAACATCATAAATAGTTACTTAGCGACCCAAGCGTCCAGGCAAACTCTTCCTTCTCCTTCTCACCTCGTCCTTTTGAGGCTTGCCTGGGGCACTGCTTGGCCTTCTTGGGACTTGCTTGGGTGGGCTGCAGGACGATGATGCGGAGGATGAGGATGACGATGCGAAGGAGGAAGAAGCGGAAGAGGAGGAGGAGGAGGAGGAGGAGGTCAAACTTTGCCTGCATCCGACCTTGCTTGCGGCAAGCTCACCCCCTTTCCGAGGAAGCCAATCGAGACAACGGCGGCTCTCCCGCCGGTCCCAACTCCTCGCAACTCGGTTCCAGCCGTGGCGACGAGAAGCCTACCCGAGGCACCACAACAAGGACATACAACGCCTGGGAATGCTGCTGCTTTCTTGATTGGCCCTTCTCCAACCCTCCGACCCGTGCACAGCAATAGGCGGCGCGCCCAGGTGGGAAGTGGGAAGGGGCGGGCGTTCTCAGAAGGCTCCGAAGTCCCCCCGCCTTCTGAGAGGGCCTCCTCCTTCTCACTTCCCCCCTCGCTCGCCGCCGAAGCAAGCCGCAAGCCCCAGTGGCCATTTCGCCAGCTGCTTCCAGGGGCCCTTCGACGCGGCGTTCCTCAGCCAGTTCGCCCTCTCGGCTATGAGCACGCACCGGCCCCTGCGGGCCACGGGGGAGCAGCAGTCGACTCGACACGCGGAGCTGGCGAGAGGGCAGACCAACCATTCTCAGTCAGCACCCCTTCAAGCGAGGCTCTCCAGCACGGTGGACACACGCGGTAAGAAATCCCTCCAGAAGACGCCTAGGAACACGCTTGTCCATGATCTCTGAACTTCCTGAAGAGCCCCAGAGCTTATGCGAGTCCCCAGGATCAACGGAAGACAAGACATTTCAGTCAGGCACCTCCTGGCAGGCTGGCTCCTTCTGTGATGCACCTGGTGCGAACGCGCACAAAGGCGTGCTAGCAAGCGCCCGTGGAGGGGATTGCGGTGCCTTTCTCCTCCCTTGACCCCACCCCCGAAACCCACCTATCTCTCGCCACGTGGACTCACGGAGGTGCCGCCCCCCCTCCGGAGGACGTCCCGCTCCCACTCTTGACAGGGCCCGACAGCGGCCCCCAGAGGCCCAAGCACGGTCAGGAACTTCTGCACACCGCGTCGCGGTGGCGGCCTCGGCGACATGCTGTGACCTGCAAGCGGATGGCGTGTCGCTCTGCTCCGCGGGGCGGAAAGCTGGGAACAGCTCGGGACGTCGACGCCTGGGAATAGGGATGTGGATAGCGTGTGGCGCCGAGGCGCCAGAACTGGCGGCGCGATACGCTAAGCCAATGCTCATGACCGTCCGAAAACAAGAACCGACGGCGTGAACATAATCCACACTTCAGAGGTCGACGGCCGACGTCGCGGCAGACATCGTGGTGTCGAACGTCTCGGCAGGGCCGCCGCACCGAGGGTGGGGTATGCATCTCGCATCTCTCCCCACAATTACCCTTTCCTTACCCCCTCTTGCTCTCTCTATCTCTATCTCTCTCTCGCTCTTCCTTTCCCCGCTTCCACCCTTCCCTCCCGCATCCTCCTCCTCCTCCTCCTCGTCCTAGCAAAAAGGGCCGGCGGCACCGGTCGCTAGGCCTTCGCAATCAAACCTTCGAGGTCGACGGTCCCACTTCGCGACAGAGATCGTTGCGTCGAACGTCCACGCAGAGTCGACGCAACGACAGATCGGGGCGGACAGAGCAGTGGGCGGCTGGAGCAGCTGCGACACGCCAGAGGTCGCCGCCGCCGTCGTCGAGGTCCGTCGAAGTCGTCGAGGTCGCGTGCGTCGTCGGCGTCGTCGTCAGCGTCGTCATCAGCGTCACGGTTGTCGTTCACGCCGCCGCTGCCGCCGCCGCCGCCGCCGCCGCCGCCGTCGTCGTCGTCGTCGTCGTCGTCGTCGTCGTCGTCGTCGTCGTCGTTTTCGAGGTTGACGTCGTCAGATCGTTTTCGGCTTGGTCCTCGACGTCGTCTTCGTCTTCGCCATCGTCGTCGACATCGTCAACGTCGTCTTCGCCGACGCCGTCGGGCTCTGCACGCACAGCCTGGGCCGCAACACCCGCGCGGCCTCCTCGAGGATCTCCTCGTAGGCCTCGCGCTCCCGCTGCCCGCTGCCACTGCCGCTATTGCTGTTCCTCCTCTTCCGCTCTTCGTCTCCTCGCTCGCGTACTCTTCCTCCCAAAAAAAAACCCTTTCCTCCTCCTCCTCCTTCGCCTCCTCCTCTTCCTCCTCCTCCTCCTCTTCCTCCGCCTCCTCCTCCTCCTCGTCCTCGTCCTCGTCCTCCTCATCCTCCTCCTCTTGCTCCTGCTCCTCCCATCCTCTTCCGCCTCCTCCTCCAGGTCATGTCCCTACAACTGTTTATATTGTACTGCTTCGCCTCATCCTCCTCGTCCTTTTTCATCCTCCCCCTCCTCCTCTTCCTCCTTCTTCTCTTCCTCCTCCTCCTCCTCCGCCTCCTCCTCCTCCTCCTCCTCCTCCTCCTCTTCCCCCTCCTCATCCGCTTCCTCTTCCTCTTCCTCCTGTTCCTCCCCTCCTCCTTCTCCTCCACCTCCTCCTTGTTGAAAACTGACGGCGGCAAGGTCGTACTGACGCAGCCATCTCCCCCAAGGGGAGGTCGCCCTTTGGGGCGGTGGTCAAACTAGGCTAGCTGAAAATAAACCCGCCGATCCGGCGAGTGAGCTACAAGGGGCCTCAGCAAGAGCGTTAGCTCTGAGCCCAAGCAAGAGCTTCAGCTCTGCTTGGGGGTGGTCGCGGGGGGGGTGGTTTTGCCAGGGACGGGGGGGGGCCGGTCCCCCTATCTGGCGTTTTCATAATGATTTGCGCGCGCCACTGCCTGGGGGGCGCGGGTTAGAAGGCGGACCGGGACTGCCGGGTTTTGAAGAATCTTCTGGAATCCTTCGGAGCCCTAAAGCATCTGGAAGACTCCTGAAGGACCCAATAGAATCCGCAGGAAACCACGTGGCTGTGAAGTTTTCATGGGGGAGCGGTCGTGGAGTTCGGTGGCGCCGCGTTGAAGTTGGTCTTGGCTCCTGTGGGGCCGTCTCGGGAATCCATTGGACTGGTTTGGGGGCTCTCTGGGGCCGTCTTCTGGTTTCTTGGCCTTTGGGGGGCCCCCTTGGCCATCTGGGCCGCCGTGGGCCGACTGGGGGCCCTCTCGTGTCGTTCTGGGGCCGTCTTGGCAGCCTCTTGGGCGATTGCGCTTGGCCCATCTTCATTCGCCGTCATCGTTCGTCGCGGTCTCCAACGCAAAGGGGGGCCAGTTGAAGAGGGGACGGAGGAGGAAGAGGAGGAGCGCGGGACCAGGAGATGGACGATCCACGAGGAGCAAAGGGGGGGCGAGGAAGGAGAGAGAAGGAGGAGAATGCATGGCGTTTCTCGTCGTCGTCACTCGTCGTTGTCGTCGTCAGTCTTCAGGCACCGCCGTCCTCGACCTCGTCCTCGTCGCCGTCTTCTTCGGTCGTGGGTCGCCAGTCCCCGCCGCCGGCGTGCCCCCCCCCCGCGCGCGCGCGACCCCTGGGGGGGACGAGGGCGAAGGGGAAGATAATCAAGAGGAGGATAGGACGATGGCGGCGACAAGGAGGAGGAGGAGGAGGAATCGGGGGAGGGGCACGAGGGGAAAAGAGTGAGGAAGTGGAGGGGCTTTCGTAGAGATCGTCCGCGCTGCATTGGGGCTGCCTTAAGCTTTTGCGGGGCACTCTCGGAGGCGCATTTTTCACGCGTTGGTAATGTCGCCGCGGCATCACCACCTGTAGGCAGGAAGCCGCTGTCCCTGAATGAAGGGCAACGCGCGCGCCGCGCGCAGCTCAGCCGAGCGCGTTCCTGGCCATGTCATCAGCGCCGAGGATGTCGGTGCAGTCGTCCGCGGCGTCTTCGAGCTCGAACCCCCCGAGCTGTAGCTTGACGGCGATGCTGTCGGCAGCGTCGTCGCGCCCTTGATAAGCAAGGCCACCTCCAGGGCGGAATCCGCCGGTGCCTTGAAAATCTTAACCCTCTCGATTTCCATGTTATCTCCCGCTTTCGTGTCCGTTGGGATGCCGTGCGCAGTGCTCGTCGTGATGCTTTGCTTCTTGCCCTTCATGGCGTGCTCCTTGAGGCCCGTCTCGGAATCCGGTGCGAGCTCTTCTGCTGTCGAACCAATCACTTCCTGCCGACCGTTGAATTCTTTCTCTCCGTCCCTTCGGCAAGGTACTCGCGCCCTTGCAACTCGGAGGCCGGCCTCGGGCGCAGACGCGAGCCCGCCCTGC